GGCGGCTCTCTCTGAGTGGATAACGGCTCCCCTCACTTCCACTTACCCAGATCACAGAAGTGACCTCAAACTGCTTCTCTCTCTCACTAACACACACACACACACGTCAAACAGTCTAAGAGCTTTCGATCACATTCACAATAAAACACAGGCCAGTGTCTCTCCTCTGCCACTTATGCGGCTGAGCTGGTTAAGAGTGCATCAGTGAACAAGTGTGAGATTTTCCACGCACACGCAACACCCACTCAAATCCCTGGTGGCCATTCCAACAAGCCACTTCATGGTGGTTGTCAGTTAGTCCGTCATATTGGCCCCCAAATTAGCTCTGAATTTCAGAGCAGCTGTAATTAGCCTCTTCATTTCCACCTAAAGTCAATTTAGAAAGGGGAAAAAAAACACCCGTGCCTGGATTTAGCTTTCACTTTCCATTTAAAACAGTCCTTTTTGACCGAACGGCTGGCTAATTAACATCACTAGAACCCCTTTTCCGTAAGTAGCGACATTTAATAAATAATACCTATTTAATGTCTTGTCATTTTGGTGCTCAGAAAGGCTTTGCTAATGAATTTTAACACATGATTTATTCAGGCATTTTCTGCCGTGCTCTCAGGTCTCTCTCAACGCTTTTCGCTGGTTGAATGACAAAGTAACCTCACAAATCCAGGACGGTAGATCTAAATTAGTGACGGCTCAGTTACAAAGCTTTTGACACTGAGCTTTATGATTTGTAGATGCACACAGCAGGAAGACACCCATCACCTCATGTTTTTTTTAAGTGACAAAGTTTCTAAAGTCTTCTTGCTGAGCAAACTGAAAGTTGAGAGTTATCTAGAGATCAGCTTCATCGGTTTATGTTTTTTGTGTTTTCTTAAAGTGTTCTAAAGTCCTAAATTTTAAACAATTAGAATGTTACATGATTTTAAAAATAAATATACTACACAGACAGAATATAAGGGTGCTTTCAGACTAGGACTTTTGGTGCGCACCCGAGTTCGATTGACGTCAGCGTTTGGTACGTTTGGATGATGTGAACGCTGTCTTCCGAACTCTGGTGTGCACCCGTGAACCGTACCAAAGTCCGCTTAAAAGAAGCGATCTGGGGTACGGTTCATGTGAACTCCAAATCACGGAAGTGAATCACTATTAATAACGTTTTATTTGCAAAAAATGTGTTACTAAGCAACGGGGTAAACAGCTGCTGGCTTGATGATGCAAATGAACCGTGGTTTGGACCCAAATAAAATAATATGAACGCAGTCCAGCGGGGGCAAGGGGAGGGGGGAGCAATCGAACCCAGGTTCGGACCAGGCCATAGAACCTGGCCTGGTCTGTGTGAAGTGTGAAAGCACCCTAATATACTAATAAACATTTTTTAAATTTACATTTATTACATTAAAAAATATTCTTAAAATATATATTTTTTTGCATTAAACAGATAAAAACAATGATACAATTATACTTTAAATTTTTTTTTTATTTAAATGATTAATAAATTCATAGTCAAGACTTTTTAAATTGGTGTCAAAGTGTACAAGGCTCTGCTACTACTGCTCTTTACCACTTTAGAAGGTATCAAAACTCGGGCATGATTCTTTCATACAAACCATACGAATGGACTCGAGCTCTAATGTGAAAACACAGCGTCTTCAGCTTTGCGGATCTCAGCAGAGCGACCCATTCTGGGACTGTTGACGGGGGGGCTTTGCTGCTGTAACTTCAGGTGCATTTTTATTAAATTTTCAAGGGGATTTACATCATGTGCAGTCCAGCAGGAGCTAATGCACTAACACTAACCTAGGCCTGTAGTTTAATCTCACCTCGTATACACGAGCCAAAACAGCCCTCCACAGAGATGCTTTTCAAGGCTCACAGAGCTTGTTGGGATGAAATGGATAATGATCTCAGATAATGTGAGCTATTTTGCCAAACAGGAGCATCTTCATGCCTGGGCAAGCGGCCCACTGTAGCAGAGCAGAAAGTAACAAAATCTCATCTGCTCCTTCAAACACAACCTTACCATAGTACTACCATGCTTTTATCTGATAATTAACACAAACGGACCTGAACCCATGCTGTGTTTTGTTTCAAAGTACCAACAGTTCTGTGGGAAAAAAAATGAAGACCAGCAGATTTGGTAGGACACTGGGGTTAAATGCAGCAACCGCTGGCCATTGAAAAAGCACTGACACAGGACTGCTTATTCAAAAGAATATAGTTCAACACTGCACACTCCCACAATACACCAGGGCACAGGAAACTGCCTCCACTGCACTCCATCTGCTGAGCAAACTCATCACTTTCCACTGATCTGTTAGTGTCTTACGACAACTACCAACTCACTGGGGAGAGGAGATAAAGACAGGAGGAGATATGGAAATAGAAGCTGGGGGGATGGAAAGGTGAGAAAAGAAAAGCTGCACATGATGAGGTGAACTAAAAGAGAGAGACACACACACACACAGAAGTTCTTTCTGCCTTAATGATCAGGAATAGATTGATTCGCATATGGCAACCTCTGGAAAAGCAAGCATCCCATGATCCTCCTTTGAGAGACCACTGCTTGCTCTGAAAGGGACAGAGAGATCCAGAGGGAGATGTCTCAGCAAAGCAAGAAATGGACGAGGCACATCAGATGGAGACGCATGCCACCACTGCTGTGCACCAGGGAGATTTGCCTCCAGAAGCCTGAGGTTCCCGTGAAGGAGGCCCCAGTGGAGCCAACAGTCTTCTCCCTTCACTCTGTCAGGTCCAGGGAGACAGACCTCCACCTGAATCACTGAAACTCTCACTTTAACAGGAAACGGCAGTAAAAAGGGCACTGCAGAATTTAGATGAGGGCTTGAGTTCGTGAAAGCAATTCACCAAGACAATTTCCTCTTAAGTGCAGTCGTACTAGGCCAATAAACTCCAACTGAAAGGGAACAACTACAGTGTGTTATCAAGTCTTTGAGATGTTTAGTCTGTAAGCTGTTGTATAAAGTTCTCATGTTATTGTTGGAGCACCATTACTGTTGAGACATGACTTACTTAACATTCTCCAGTGCTCTGAACTCTATTGAGCGTAGCTGCAGCGTGTTGGAACAATGTTGCAAGCAGTTTAAGCATTTAATGTGATGTTCAAATTCAATAATTTCAACTTTGACCATATCTGACCTTTAGAAGTGCATCCAATGATTATCCGCCAATTTGCATGACGTATCATTACATACTATATGTGTGTCTTTATACTTCATGTTGTACGAAACAGTGCTGGAGGCATATCTTGACCATTAGAAAACATTAGCCGCATTTCCATTTCCCTTCAAATTGCGCAAATTGCAATTGCGAATTGAAAATACGTCCAACGGAAACACGACAGTTTTGCAAAAACTCCCATATATCACAAAAAAAGATTTTGTGATCGCATGAGGTGGTCTTTCAGGTAATTCGAAAAAGGAATATTTAAAAAAACTGCAATGGAAATGGCTTTTTTGCATTTACAGGTCACCTGGTGTACGCAAAGTCACATGATCATGCTTTAATGTACTATAACCTCAAAAAAAAAAAACATCACGTGGCCGCTTACACAAGCATTGACTACACAATGCTTGCATAAGGGAGGTTTCCTTGGTATTAAAGCTTGGATAACCCCTTATTTACACTGCACATGTCTGCGGCGCATTACACCGGAGCTGATAGTCAGCTTGTGTTTTTACCAGGCGCGCTGCGGCATGTTTCAGAAGCGTCCCGGAAGCAGCTCTCCACCCTGCTTTGCTAAAGATACACTCCTACGTTTCCTTCCATTAAAATTCATTGCTAATGTGGTGCCTGTGATATACATAAACCTACCAAAATCCATCACCATGACTTATCGTGAGAGGAAAAATTAAGATTTATTCGCACAAATCAGTTAATGGAAACGTCATCATTTCGCAACAGTTTTTTATCGGCATTTATAAAATATAGCAAATGTTTTGCACAAATCTGTACTGGAAATTGCTAATGATGCATGGGTCAGGTGTTACCTCTTTCATTTGCTTTAACTATTTAAACTATGGACACTTCCCATAATGCTTTTCATGTGGAAGTCACAGCAACACACTTACCTTGAAAAAATCTGAATTTACTCCCTTTCCGTTAGTGAGTGTGAATTTGAATTATATTGAATTAGCCATGAGCCACAGAAAGTTGAAATGCAATGACAGTAAAAAGGATTCAAATTGAAAAGAAATTCAAATGAAAATAGGATGAAATACATAAACCAAATAGAAATTTCTAGTTGACATTTCAAATTTCTAGCTATAAATTCATCCTAAAACATGGAGCTTTTTAAACATTTTACAAAACTATCAATCAAGGTTAGATTAAGCCAGCATTTGAAGCTTTTCTAGATAAAATTTGTAATTTGAATCTCTTTGAATTAAATACATTTTATTTCCACTTCCTTGTATTCAGATTAGAACTGCAATTCTGCACCCTGTCTGTTAACTCAATTCAAAAAGCCATTTTCAATTAAATTCTGAACATTGCACATCTCTACATGTGGACTATATGTTTGACTACTCTTAAACCTGTATCACTTCAAACTCTTGACAGAGAGTGGTAAGGATTCTAGATGATCACCTGAGGTGGATACACTCCTCTATATTGCGCTACAGAGGGCACTAAAACAAACACTTCCCAGGCCACAGTAATGTTCAGGTTCAATATTGGATCTGCTTTCGGCAGTGCCCTCTACTGATTGGCATTAACCTGGGAAGGTTGCTAAGCAGAGAACAGTCTGTAGCCAGTCATAGCAGAGAGATTTATCTTGTGCTACAAGGATGCAATGGAAGCCCTGAAATGACAGATTAGGGCACATGACGAGTGAATAATGTGAAACAGGACACTAGTGAAGGTGAGTGTGTATTTTCGGCGGGGGAGAGCAGTAGCCACTCAGAACACAGGCGGTAAAGAGTGTTTAACTGGCCCTGCGTTCTGTGGGTACGCTATGTAGCCGCTTCTTCCCCTGGTCACCCTACCTGAGCCTCGTGCTGCCGCCACTGCTGCTGCTGCCACGGGTCCGTACGCTGTCGCTGGGAAACCTGACGAGAGAAGAAAATGATTTACTAGTGCTCTTCATCTCAATCAAATTTACAGCCACATGAACACAGCAGAACATCTCAATTCACATTAATGCAACACACACAGGAGAGATGCTACATCATTGTTCAAATAATTACATATAAATCAAAAGAACTCAAATATAACTACTCGTTTAAAGTGGGGCTAGCAAGACTGATCTACAGCCTAGGCCTGGGCGATAAAACGGTATCGATATTTATCGACGGTACACCTTAGTCGATAACGATATAAAAAATGTTCGATATAGTGCACGATATAGGCACGTGCTATGAGTGACGCAGATAGCACACACAAACACGAACATGAGTGCTGTGCCTGCCTGTCATGAGGAGATTGTGAGTAAAGAATTCATATTAGTCGAATTTAAAATAAACATTTGCATTTGAATGCAAAAATAGTACAATCCAACGTTAGATGTGCGTCAGGGAGCGTCATCAGTGGAGCACGAGATGCGGTGATGATGATGTAAGTGAAATTGTAGTTTAATGTTTTGATAGTCTAGCCCACGAGACACGAAGTTGCTGCATTATTCATTCAAAATATTAGAGAAATATAGAAGCTCAATGCGGGGAAGATCTTAATTAGGTTAAAACTGAAACCAAGCCATTCACACAGAACGCATATTCAGCGCATTTTCTAGACAGACAAATACGACTGCTACACTCACGTCTCACACAAGAGATGAAGACAGCCATACAAAGTTAAAACAGTTAAAGCTTTTAGAAAACACGTCGCGCATTTGTGGAGGTTTATTCCTTTTCACTGCGTCTCATATGTTTTTAAAGGCAATCTGTGTGATGGGCGATTCGGCTCTTTGTATTAAGCAATGCATAAATACGTGATGCTGTTTTGTTCATAATTGTTTATGCAATTTACGAAATTATATTTGATTTATATGAGTTCTTTTAGACGTAATGTACGTTTTTTTTTTTTAATAGACAGTTACTTCCTTAAGTTGACAATTTAATGTGCTGCATTATGTGCTGCGCCCTCCTGTGGCCTCGGGAGACAAGCCAAAAGTTTAACCTATTTAATCTGCATATAAAACATTAGAAATGAGATATTTGTTTAATTTTTATTTTGTTTTTGACTGTTAAAACAAAAAAATATTTGTTGTTTGTCTCAATAAATTGAGTTAATTAAAAAATATAGTGGTTAAATGTTAAAAAAAAATTTATTTACTCTTTGTTTTAAAAAAGGTTATAAAATTTTTTAAATAATTATCGATACCGAATGATGTGAAACATTATATCGTTGATCAATTTTTTTAGCTATATCGCCCAGCCCTACTACAGCCTCTCTCTCTCTCTTTCCTGGCAACATTTTAATTACAGACAGCACAGGAACACGTTGCCCATGGAGGGACCATCAGCTTTTTTTTTTAGAAAAATGCAACATATTAAAGTTAATTTGCACTCACTTTAGATGGCTTTCACAATAACGATCTAATGCGAGGCGAGCAGCACAGAATTATGGGTATTTATAAAAACGATTACTTCACTGGGAGGACAAATGTACTTGTTTGCCCAAACACCACTAGAGGATTTAACACAGCGCCTGTCTTCCCTCATGTGTTAGTAGAGTTGACTGAGATGCATCAGAGCTCAATCCATCAGTGTGATCATTTGTATAGTGGACATGGAGCGTGAGCGGACAGAGCAGAGCTGAGAGCAGAGGATTGTGGGATTAATTGCTTGCAACTGAGTGCCTATTATCTCATTGAGAAGCATCAGAGGGCATGCGGTTCTCTTTAAGGTCCATAATGGCAGGTAATAATGACTGTGTGTGTGTGTCCATACAGCTCATCTAAATGTGCTTCTTGAAAGTTTATGAGAAAAAATTAATCAGTCATTGCTGATTTCTACTCAATAATGTACAACCAGGCAATTTGTTTGTGGCTGAAGAATCTACATATTTAACAACAGTCACAAGTTCAGTGTTCAAACAATTTAATCAAACATAATCAACATGATTGTAGAAGCCAACTAAAAACCCACCAGGCCGGAGTATCTACGGCTCTATTATTTCATAACAAATGTAATTACAAGGGGTCTAATGCCCATCTACAGCATGTCATTACACCAGACTGTAACCCACAACTCAGAAGGTAGAGTGGCTTAGTAGGTAAAGATTTGAGACTGGTAACTCAATGTTTGTAGGTTAGATGGTGTGCAATAAGAGATTAGTGTTAGAGAAAATGTGCCATATAGCTAAAATTAGGGGGGTTAAAAATAAAATAAATAAATAAAATTAAGAGATAATCTGCCATATGGCCACTCAAAAAAAAAAAAACTAAATAAATTACATTAAACATTTTTAAAACTGATAAATTACATAAAAACATTTTAAAAAAAGAATACAATTTGGAGTAAATTGATCATATGGCTACTGAAAAACAAAACAAAAAATGGAAAAATAATTTTTATAAAAATTAATAAAATGAAGAGAAAATTTGCCATATGGCCAGTCAATAAAAAAAAGAAAAATAGTTGACATATGGCTAACCTTAATAAAAAGAGACAAATGGAAAAAAAATAATAAAAATCAAAAGGAAAACTGTCAAATCAAAAAAATAAAACAGTTCCAGATTAAGGATGGTTATAGATAATACCAAACCTCTGTGGTCTCTATAGTTTAAATTACGCATGTCATTTCCTGTTTCTTTCCTCAGCTCATTAATCTCTTCACAAAACACAAATCAGTATGCTAATGCTAATGCAGGTCACGCGTCCCTGCCTCTCTTTCGCTCTGCTCGCTGTTGCTGAGCACAAGTGTCCTATACCAAAGTGTCACAAGTTATTTGTGCTGCTTTCTCCCCCTCGTCTCTTTCTCTGCACAGCATCTTCTGTCCCCTAGCGGCCTCTCTCCCTTCATCAAAGTTAACACTGGAACAAAGTTCTTGCAAGAGATTAACTTTGCCGGATTAGGTGGGTTAATTATTAGATCTCGGAGGCTCATTGTTTTGTGTTTCCGCCGTGAGAGGCTGCTTGAGAGAGGCGCTGCAGCATTAAATCAATTTCATGGGCTTTTCATTACAGACGAGATAACGCCAACATTTAGCATTCAGTTTTATGGCGTTATTTGAATCTGCTCCAGCGAATGGGCTGATGGGAGAGAAAACCCCTGCTGAGAGGGCACAAGGACACATTGCTCTCCCTGCTTCCTCCAGAGCCCCCTGGGCACCGTAAAACCGCACGAATGGACCCTGAGGGAGCGCAGAATGGGTCTACCACACTGAAAGAGAGAGGAAGAGGGACATTGACAGGAGGATGAATCCTATGCGAGACCTGAAGAACACTGACTGCTGCGGATGACAGTTTCACACAGAACACCCTAGAAATCAGCCAGCAATGCCTTCAAAACAGACTGTTCTTACCGAAAAAATTAACAAATCTATTTCTTACAATTAAGCAGTGTAACGGATGCTACACAGAGAGAAAAATGTTCTTTCAGTCTGACTATGCTAGAGCTACCCTACTTTAGGAAACAGCTGCTGAAAAGAGCCGCATGTCCTGAAATTAGGCTACAAATACATTTGATGTGAGCCCACACACACACGGTTTGTGTCCTATCAAGCAACACGGAGCTGTGAAATGACAAAATCTGTGCCTTCATCTTTCCTTCATTGCCCACTTTGAAAGGAAAATAAAAAACAATGAAAGCTGCCATAATAAGAGCTGGGAAAGGCAGCAGCCTTGGCTCTCTTTTCATCTGTGCAGCGAGTGACCTGTTGTTACTGTCCATATGAAAAAAAATGATGCGCTGTTTGTAGTTTTGCGAAAGCTTTTCATGCGATATCAAAGGTGGAATCTCAGGAGCCTTTGACACAGGTGGTGTCTATATGAAGAACACAACACGTATACATATAAACACTTCTTTGCTTCCTACACGACAGTATAACCGCTCAGAAGAGTCATTATGAATGGGTTTTTGTGCACAGGCATCTAAACTTAGATCAGTTTTCATACGCAAGAGGTTTTGCCCAAAATAAAACCATTTACTGTGCTGGATCTTAATTGTGAGAGTCTTCTGACGTTTGATTAGGGGACAAAAAGTCATTTTGCCAGGCAGATTAAAGGGCTCAATCTTTTCTTAGCCCTTTCATCCACCATTAAACTTAATAATGAAGGAGGTAGTAGAAATCTCCAGAAAGATCCCTGGACATCACAAAACCTTCAAACATCACCAGCCAGCCATGAGTTTCGCCCCACACCATAATGAGAGACGATTTTATGGGCAGGAGGACAGCCGTGACTGCGCAACTCCAACAAGAGTACGATCTCATCTCAACGATGTTTTTGTTATGGAAACATATGGGCCGTGAATTATGTGTGTAAGTGTGTGTGTGTAATGGAGAAGTATAGTTGCACCGCTCTGAAGCAGATGTCACGGAGGTGACACGCATTTCCTACCGCTCTTCTAATCATAAAATAAAACCACCTCTCTGCATCTTTCGACAGATCGGGCCCTTGTGCCGGAACGCGATCAAGCAGACCGAACTTTGTTGTCGAAAATAAATCATTCCCTGCCCAGGCACAAAAGAGCCGAATCGCTTGGCCTGTTTCTAATGGAAATGTTTCCAGGATGATGGTTTTTGCAGACCTTAGGTGAAGATTTTAAATGTGTAAAGTATAGCTGAGACTACTTTCCAAGAAAAAAAAAAAAAGAATTTATGTGAAATATGACAAAAAATTCTATGAAATGTTCTAGGGTTTCTGGGTAACAGGTGTCAGTGTTGATCAACTGAGGACTCAAGGAGCTCAGGGTGTCAGCAGGAAGGACTCCGCCCTTTAAACGAGCAGCCTGTCTTGTTAGCTAGAAGCACTTAGTATCAATTAGCAAGGCCACCTCATTATTACCCAAGTAAACACTTCTAATTTGTTATGCATTTTAATGGCCTTCACCAAACCCTTAAGAAACATCTTTAGGCATTTAAAAAAAAACTCCAGACAGCTCGGAAAGA